ATAATGTTTTGAAACCCATTAGACTGGGGCAGACTATGAATAAATGCATAACAAAAATGGTGTAAAATATCAAAACGGAAAGAGGTATCAACATACTCAGAAAAAGCTTAGTACTGGCTTTTGAACAACTCCATGAAGAAGCGCCGAAGGTTGCAAAATTTTCCTTATTTTCTAAGAAACAAAAAGCTTAGTGAGAAAAGGACAAATTTTGTAAAATGCCTTTGTCGAATAGAAGACTTACCCAAGATGACCAATAAAAGGTATATTTATCAATAGATGATATGTAAGTTCTTCAAAGAGATTTCCATCTATAGAAGCTAAGGAAAATATGTCTTATTTGGAGAAAAGTTTTTCATGAAGTCAGATCCTGTATATATCTACATTTACATATATATATATATATATATATATATATATATATATATATATATATATATATATATATATGTATATATATATATATATATATATATATATGTGTATACAAAAGAGTAGAGTTATGCATGAGTGGTTGATCACGCCCAGACAAAATGGTCATGAATTAACTTTGAAATTTTGCTTGTGGGTTAAAGTTTAGGGTGAGATAAGGCTGGATTTTTTTGGAAATTCGAACTATAAGTGTACCTACAGCACTAAAAGTTACAAAAAATCAAACCCATTTTATTATTCGCTAATGGGATGATACCATTTGGTGAACGGATGGAGTTACAATTTTAACAATTAATACTGGAATACATTTTGGGAAACATAGGGTTGATAGAAGGAGGTAGTTTTTGATATGGTACTAAATGTGGAACAACTTGAATTTGAGTACCTGAATGGAGCTGAAATTATGAAATGTTAACATTGGGTCACTGTTAGTGTGTACGGTTAAGATTTGATTGCGGTTTTGGAAATATGCACTAAAAAAGTTCGGAAAATAGTAAATTGTACTAAGTTTGGTACATTAGGAAGTTTGGCGTTGGAAGTCTGAAAATTGGTATTACGGTCACTTTGGCTAAGGTAGGGATTGATTTTTGCGAGTTGATTTGGGAACACATATAAAAAATACGAAAGAAAAACTAAATGGTACTAAATTTGATATTGGCTGCACCAATAGTACTCGAAATCTGAAATTTGGAATGCGGATATCTGTAATTGTGCAGGATAGACTTACTAAAGTTTTTTTGGAAATTCAAACAACAAGTATATCAAAAATGCTACAATCAATAAATTTGGTATCATTCGGATGAGCGGATGGAGATACAAATCATAAAATTTGATATGGGAATCATGTTTTATTATTGATAAAAATGTTGCTTTTGGAAATGTGCATTAAGTGTAACAGCTGTACTAAATGGTATTAAATTAAGTACACTTTGGTGTTCGGGTTAATGGATGGAGCTGACATTTTGAAATTTTGATAATATAGTCACGGCGGTGGGGTAGGGTTGAGATTCGGGGGTGAATTTGGGAGTTAATGCTAAAGAGTACAAAAAGTACTAAATGGTACTAAATTTGGTATTTGGCATATGAAAGTGAGAACCTGGATGTATTATATTAAATATAGCAAATTTCGGCACATCCGACCGAATTATGGCCAGAAGCAAGTGCATCAAATTTGCTGAAAATCGGTTCGGATATGGCTATATCTCGCATAATAGGATCCTTACAATAATGATGTTTGTAATTTTTGGGCACAAAATATAGCCTTAGTCATATAGCTAGATATCATTTGATACGGCCAAAACGTGACTCATCGAAATAGCGGTCTTAGACCCTAGGTCTCTTTAGACCAAATCCGTTTCAGGACATTTGGAGTCGATTTAGCGATGTCCGTCCGTCTATCTGTCTGGCTGGTGCGCACGATAACTCTGGAAGCGAGTATAGCAATTGGTCCACATTTTTTTTTTTTTTTTTTTTTTTTTTTTCAATTAAAAATATTTTACATTGCAGAACAAGACAATCCGATTCTGCTCCAAGTTGTGAATCCTAATATTTGTATCAGTGCTATTTCAGGTGCAAAAATGGACAATATCGGTCCACTCCATCAAATACCTTCCACACAAATGGTCAAAATTTTGAATAATTATAACTCTTATAAAATGTGGAATAAATGTCCGATAGTCTTCAAATTTCACACATCAAAATGTTGTTATTAGTTCAAGTTCTGGTGCGAAAATGGACAAAGTCGGTCAACTCCATCAAATTCATACTCCACAAAGGGTCATAATTTGGAATGTCCATGAAGCTCATAAAACGCAAAATTAGCTTCTGATTCCATTTAGCTCGGTTTTGAGAAGCTCGGTTTTGAAGATGAAATATATATTGGTGGCAATATCCTGAAGCTCATAGAATGCGAAATTAACAACCGATTTCATTCAGACTTGGCACATCTCATCATTTCTATCAACAGAAGATATGCTATAAAGATGGTAGCGATCGGACCATTCCTTCTGGTACTTCCCCCACAAAGGGTAAACATTTTGAATGAAAAAATGATCATAATATCGGAAATAAGCATCCGCTTTTCTTCAAATTACCCACATCAAAATATTTTTATTAACCCAAGTTCTGGCGTGTAGATGGGATATATCAGTACACTCCTTCTGGTACCTCCCCCACAATTTGTCAAAATTTCCGATATTTCAAATTTAATGATAAAATAATGGCTGTAAAAATATTGACATATCAATGTTTTTTTCCGGAAATGGGCGAAAGGTTTTAATATTTTCATAAAAACCAAAATTAAAACGAATACGTTTAAATTCGAACAATTCTGATTTTTTTTGTATTTATTTATTTATTTATTTATTTATTTTTTTTTTTTTTTGGTCATGCTTTTAATTGTATATATAGAATTAACAAGTAAAAAAGCTATACATGCTATAGAACCAATTAGGAACTTCAAATACGAAATTTTTAACAATTTCGGTGAATATTGTACCAAAAATCGTCAAATACCGAATTCAGGGAGGTACTGATGTATGGGGCTATGCGAAGACCTGGACCTGTATAGACAATTTTTTGTCATGGGCTGTAGTACCCATTACGAATTCTAAATACGAAATTTGAAATATCGAATATCGGGGTTACCGCTGTATGTGGGCTATACGATATCCTAGACCTATATATACATTTCTCTTCCAAGGAGTGAAGTGCTTAAATAGAACTTCTAGTATGGATTTTTAAAAAATTCCATTTTAAAAAAATAGCTAAAATTATCAAAATACTGCATATAGGGAGGAACCGTTATATTGGGGATATACGATATCGTGGACCTATATAGACAATACTTTTCCAGGGGACTTTTGAATTTTCAGACAATTTCATTGAACAATTTGACTACAATCATCAAAATTCCAAATGTCGGGGGTACCGTTATATGGGGCCATATGATATCTTGGACCGATACATTCCATCCTAAAACATGACCTGTATTTTTATACTCCACACCACATAGTGGTAAGGTTATTATGTCTTTGTGCATTTGCTTGTAACATGGAGAAGGAAGCAAGACAGACCCATAGTTACTTTTGAGGATCTCCATAGAATTACTTTCTGAGTTGATTTATGCATGTCAGTCCGTCCGTCTGTCCATGTATTCTTGTGAACAAAATGCAGGTCGCATTTATTACGCGATTGAGATGAAATTTTACAAACAACATTTGTTTGGCACAAGGACGAACCCTATTAAAATTGGAGATAATCGGTAAAAAATTAGATATAGCTCCCATATATATCTTTGTCCGATTTGCCTTTTATTGTGAACCAAACATCTAATATTTGCTCAAATGGGATGGAATTTTGCACATACACCCAAATTAGGCCTGAAAACAAGTATGCCAAATTTTATCGAAATCGGTTCATATATAGCTATAGCTCCCATATATATTGTTCATCCGATTTGTTATTTTTGTCCTCCGCAGCCGTAATATGCACTCTACAACAAAAATATTTGGGGAAATATATCAAATACAGCTCAGAAATACACTTGCTAAATTTTATCGAGATCGGTTCAGATTTGGATATAGCTTTCATATATAACTTCGTCCGATTTACCTTTTATTGTGCACCAAACGTCTAATATTTGCCCAAATGGGATGGAATTCGGCACATACGACTGAATTGAGTCTAGAAGCTAGTGTGCCAAATTTGGTCAATATCGCTTCTGATATAGCTATAGCTCCCTTATATATTGTTCATCCGATTTGTTGTATTTGCTACCCACAGCCGTAATATGCACTCCGAAACAACGATATTCAGGGAAATATATCAAATACAGCTCAGTAATATCTTTGCCAAATTTTATAGAGATCGGTTCAGATTTGGATATAGCTGTCATATATATCTTTATTTGATTTCAAATTAATTTTGCACCAAATGGGCAGTACAAGTCCGAATTTAAAGATACAAATGCTTCGGCATATTAGTCCATTGAACTTTAAATTATAATTATAATCATAGCGTGTATGATTGAATTCTCCCGTAAAAACTTTCAATTGTTATGTGGGGCTCTACTAAATAAGCAAAGTGGTGTAGGATATCATAAAGTCGGCCCCGTCCGACTTTGGGACTTTCTTTACTGGTTTTTACTTTCCTAAATGCAACATAATTCAAACATTCTTGTTTTAGTTTCTAATATATTTCAAAATAGTCAAATATATTTTTGTTTGCCATTGCGAAATCCATTGCCAGAATCGAAAAAAAAAATAATCGTTTATTCTGAATACCAAACTGCAGCGAAAACCCACAATTTATTAGTCAATATTTGCCGCACGCTTGTGTCTTAAGTCTTTCGTTTCATTTGACATATATGCCAATTAAATTAAATCTATGCTCGCATATTTCGTAACTGTTCTTAGCACATTATGGCAATAGCAAATTATGCAATATATCATGGTTTAAGACATTTTAAATAAATGGCTTACCAAAAATTCTAGTCTCACAAAAAATGTCGATTATTACAAAATTTTTGCAAATTTTTTTCAATTTTTTTTTTCTTCGAAAATTTTTTGCAGATTTCATTGCTGATCAACAACGCTGGCGTTGTGTCCGGTATGCATTTGCTTAATACACCCGATCATTTAATTGAACGTTCCTTCAATGTAAATGTTATGGCTCACTTTTGGGTAAGTGCGAGTGTGTGTGTGAGTGTGTGGTTAGAAAGAACTGTGTGTATGTGCGAGTCCATTTGCAACAAGTTTGGTGGCACCAATACGTTTGGCCTCACAAGAACATGTTGTGTGCATTGCAACGCACTCGAATTATTCTTGTGTTGTAATAATATTGACTCCAACCAAACTCTGAGGCATTTTGGATTCTTGTTAACCTTGTTGTGGGGTTTTGAATTGTTTGTCTACCTCGCCATGGTGTTGAGCAAAGTAAATTTAATATTTGTTTTTGTTGCGTTTTTTTTTTTTTTACAGACCACCAAAGCTTTCCTACCCAAAATGATTGAGAATCAAAGTGGCCATATTGTAACCATAGCCTCATTGGCTGGCCATGTTGGCATAACCAAATTGGTCGACTACTGTGCCAGTAAATTTGCTGCGGTAAGTTGTGTCTGTTGTTATTTGAAATCTTGTTTCTTTGTTGTTTTTTCCAATGATTGAAAATTCTTTGAAGAAAATTTTGCAATGTACCCATGCCTATGTGTGCGTGGCAAATGTGGTTTTGTGTTGGCCAACATTGATTTGTTGTTTTTGTGTGTTTTTGTTTTTTCTTTCCACATCCCCAGGTTGGTTTCGATGAAGCTTTACGCTTAGAACTTGAAGTCCTTGGTCACACCAATATCCAAACCACATGTGTCTGCCCGTTCTTTATCCAACAGACTGGCATGTTCGACGATGTGAATGCCCGGTAAGTTGAAACGTAGAATTAATTAAAAAAAATCTGGTTTTGAAATTAAAAATTATTTATTTATAATATATTATTTCGAAAATACGTAATAATATGTAAAAAAAATTGTCTGATATCTCATAAGAATGCAATCAATTGTGGATACTTCAAACCAAAAAAAAAAGTGAAAGTGTTTGGAAACCTGAAAGAAAACCTTGTCGATGTGTGGGAACACGTGCCGACTATAAAATCTTTAAACTTTAGAAGATCCTATATCAATGGAATAACTTAAAAATCTCTTAAAGTATCTCATATCTGGAAACTGAGGGTAGGCCCGAATTTTAGTGGATCAATAGCACTAAGAATCTAGTCAAGGACATTTTAAAAATATTTTTAGGGTCATGGTTGTTCATTTAAAAAATATTAAAGACCTAAATGAGTTATTGTCGTATATTTGTTAAAAATAGTTTTTCGGAGGCTATGAGGGCTATAATCTGTAATTTTTATACCCTACATAGTGGTAAGAGTATTATGTCTTTATGCATTTGTTTGTAACATGGAGAAGGATACGAGATAGACCCATACTTACTTTTGAGGATCTCCATAGAATCATTTTCTGAGTTGATTTATGAATGTCAGTCCGTCCGTCCGTCTGTCCATGTATTCTTGTGAACAATATGCAGGTCGCATTTATTATCCGATTGAGATGAAATTTTCCAAACAACATTTGTTTGCCCCAAGGAAATTGAAATTGGAGATAATTGGTAAAAAATTAGATATAGCTCCCATATATATCTTCGTCCGATATGCCTTTTATTGTGCACCAAACGTGTAATATCAGCCCGAATAGCATGGAATTTTGCACAAACAACCAAATTAGGCCTGAAAATAAGTATGCCAAATTTGATCGAAATCGGTTCAGATGAACATATTTTATGACCATTATTCAACGACAAACAGCGCTGAGATTTTGGATTTTTTAGAGAATATTTTTCAAGGACCCACAGGACAATAATATTGGATTTTTAAAGAAAAAGTTTTAAAGGATTAGAGGGACAGATTTATGACCATTATTCAACGACTAACAGCGCTAAGATTTTGGGTTTTTTAGAGAATATTTTTCAAGGACCCACAGGACAATAATAGTGGGTTTTTAAGGAAAAAATTTAAAGGGCTAATGGGCAGTTTTTTAAAATAGTTTTTAAAAACCAAAAGAGTAAAAATTTGGAAAAAATAAAGGAATAGAGAGACAGATTTTATGACCATTATTCAACGACCAACAGCGATTTTTAGAGAAAATAGAGACCCACAGGGCAATAATCGTGGATTTTTAAAGAAAAAGATTTAAAGGATTGAAGGAACAGATTTTTTGACCATTATTCAACGACCAACAGTGCTGGGATTTTGGATGTTTTAGAGAATATTTTTCAAGGACCCACAGGACAATAATATTGGATTTTTAAAGAAAAAGTTTTAAAGGATTAGAGGGACAGATTTATGACCATTATTCAACGACCAAGAGCTCTAAGATTTTGGATTTTTTAGAGAATATTTTTCAAGGACCCACAGGACAATAATCGCGGATTTTTAAAGAAAAAAAAAATTAAATATTAGAGGAACAGATTTATGATCATTATTCAACGACAAATTTTTTAAATAAAATTGTCAAGGACTTACAAGACATGGATCATGGATTATCATGGATTTTTAAAGAAAAAGTTTTAAAGGACCAATGGAGCAGTTTTTAAGAATAGTTTTCAAAAATCTACAGAGCTCAAATTTGGGATTTTTTAAGAAAAATTTTAAGGGTCAACAAAGCCATAATCCTGGATTGTTTTTATACCCTCAGCAATATAGCTAGAGAGGTTATACAGGGTGAATTAAAAATAAACTGCAACAAAGTCAAAAGCCATAATTTGTTACATTTTTTTTTTTTAATTTTATTAAATTTGAGCAAAAAAGGTCGGAAATAGCATCAAATTTTAGAATAAACTTCGATTTTCGATTTTGAATTGGTCAACTTTGGCACGAAATATGGCCTTAAAACGGCCAATAAAACCGTCACACGATGCCCATTGTGCTATGGAAGTGAATCGAGGAACCTCATTTTGTAACCATTCTTGGGTGGCGAATGTTGGAATGTCCAAGGTCTGCAGCCAAAATGTTTGCGTGTCCAAGGCTTTAATACAACCTTCAGAATATTTTCGCGATAATATTCGGCATTTATTCTGATGCCACGGTCGATTAATACGATTGGAGAGCGACTATCGGCTGTTATGGCGGCCCACACCATTACCAAGATTTATTCACATTTAAATGCTGGAGTTCTCTAACGATAGCCATTTGTGGGTTTGCATTTGCCAAATATAAAGAAATCACACTGTCACGCTTGAATTCCATCACGAATAACTTTTTTCTGGAAAATTCTCACCAAAATGATTTTGTACGCTTGTAAACAATATAATGAGCTGTCACTGAAATAATTTTAAAAGCTGTCGGACGAGAGGCTTAGAAATGACAGCAGTCTGAAGTTGGTTGCAGTTTTTTCATCTCACCCGGAACATCAAAATCGTTTCAGATATAGCTATAGCTCTCGCATGTGTGTTTCATCCGATTTGGGGGTTTAAGTCCCTCACATACGTTATGGTATTTGGTACCAGATATCAGATACGGCCCAGAAATACCTCTGCCAAATTTTATCAAAATCGGTTCAGGTTTGGATATAGCTCCCATACATATCTTCACCCGATTTCTGGTTTATTGTGCACCAAATAGTATATCCAACCGAATTAAGTCTAGAAGAAAATACCTGAAATTTTAACAAAATAGGTTCAGATATAGCTATATCTCCCATATATATGTTTCAACCGATTTGGTCCCTCACATAGGTAATAAGTCCCTCACATACGTAATATGCACTTCACGACGATGATATTTGGATATCAGATACAGCCCAGAAATTTTATCAAGATCTGATTAGATTCGAATATAGCTCTCATATATATCTTCAACCGATTTCGGATTAATTGTGTACCCAATGGCCAACATTCCTCCAAAAGTTCTGAATTTTGGCATATCCGACTGAAAGAAACAAGTACCTCAAATTTGATGAACATCGGTTCAGTTATAGTTATAGCTCCCATATATATGTTTCATCCGATTTGGGGTTTTAAGTCCTTTACATGTGTAATATGCACTCCACAACAATGATATTAGATACCGGATAAAATATACATCCTCTGCCAAATCTTATCGAAATCGGTTGAGTACGTACGTATTCATTAGATTTTACGGGTATAGCTCCCCATATTGATTATATGAGCCTAAATTGAATAGATTTTATCAAATTTAATTAAATTTTACCATTTGGTGAAACTCGGTGTGGTATTTGTATTGCTTCAATATATATTTTTTAATTCGGCCCCGACCGACTTTTCACCTTTCCTTACTGATTTTTTATTAATATACATAGTTCCACTGCCAATGGGAACATGGTATTATGATACACAATATTGCATTTCTTATCGATAACATTGGATTACTCGATAAACATAACCTGATATTATACAATGTTTACATTATGAAAATTGAATTCTTAAGAATTTTCTCATAAAAAATGTAATTCGAAATAAATTATATTGACATTTATCACCTTATTATATCAACTTTTAATATTTGTTTTTTAAATATCTCAGTAAATTATAATTTTTTTTCATTGCAGATGGGTGCCCACTTTAAATCCCAATGATGTTGCCGATCGTGTCATTACTGCCATAAAGAAAAATGAAAAGATTGCCATAATTCCAGGATATTGTAAATTCCTATTATCTCTCAAATGGTTAGTAGGAAGTCAAATTATTTAAAAAAAAATCAAAAACCTAAAATTCTATTTCCCTTTCTAGGACCTTCCCATGGGGTTGTGTGGGTGGTTTACTCAGACGTCTGGTGCCCGATGCTTCACCACATGGTATTGCCCAGAAATCGTTGTTGAATGTATACAAAAAATTATCAGCAACAGCAAGTCCTGCAACAGCTGTCACCAGTATAACAGATATCTCATCGACATTTAAGGAGCCTGCAGCGCTCACAAAAGCCGGAACATTGTTAATAAAACGTTCACCCTCACTGGGTGAAAGAGTGTTGTAAGGCGATAGTTTGGCCCTGCAGACATATTAGATAGATATAAGGGTGGCTGATTGTTTTCAACATGTGCACGCTTGCTTGCTAGCCCGCCGAAGACAGTCACAACAACAAAAAAATTTAGTCTAGTAAAACCTAAGAGGTCTTAGCTTATTAAGTATTCCCATCTTTGTTTTTTCAATTTCCTGAATGCTTTTAATTTATTTAAAAAAAGAAATTTGGCATTTGTATTTCTGTACTTCTTTTGAAAGAATACAGTGGGACAAAAAAAGGGATTTTTGAAAATATTGGATTTAAATTATCTTTGATGTACCCATATCCTACAGAGAGAGATAGGTTACAAATATATCTCCCATAAACTAATGGGAAGAAAATTGATGTACTTATGTTACGTTTTGTCCCACTGTATTTTACTTTTGTACCTAGTTTAAAGAAGCGTTTTTTCGTATATTTTCTAGTATTAGTTGTAGTTAGGCAAAATCAAAAGACAAAAAGTTTAAAACAAAATGTTTGATGAAAGAGATCGAAAGTGTGCTCAAGACGAAGTCCTTGTAAGGCAAAGAGAGATATTGAAATCATTTTTGTCTTCTAATGAAACCCAAAAATGCAATCACCTGGAATCACTGGAAGACTTAAATTTTAATCCTCTCTCTCTAAAAGAAAGTATTTTATTCTCTAAGAATAGGCTTTCTTATTACCCTGGATGCCAAACATTTTATTTTTTTGCTACAAAATTAAAGTAAATACTTTTAAGTGATATTAATTGTAGTTATAGTTCTTAGTTGTAATTGTTTTTATTTTTCTAATATTTCTTTGAACAATCAGCGAAACGAAAACAAACAAATCAGGGTTATATTTTCAAATTTTAGTTTTAAGCGTTTTTTTTTTTTTTTTTCCTACAACAAACACATTTCATATTTCCACTTTTTTTCTATATGTATTGTTTATAAGTCGGTTTAAGTTGCAATTGCATTAAGGCACTTTATAATCCTCCCCCTTCATTTCATCATTTTCCAATCCAAAACCATTCCCATTTGGACCAGCATAAACTAAAAACAAGCATTTCTATTCCCAAATATCCGAACCCCTACTCCTCCCATCCATCCCATCCCTAGATTCCTTTCTTAATCTAACCAAAGATTCCTTAATAAAGAATTTTCGTTATTGTTCCATATCAATTTAATTTTTAATATTAATAATTCAAATACAATTCCTAGTTTTTCAAAGAACACTACATCTCTCTAATGTGGGGGTAATTGATCGTTTCCCAATTGTTATTAATACTTGCTCAACAATGTATTAGGTTTGTTGAAGCCATTCCGCAACTTTACTAAAGCAGCCCATCCACAGACGAATTTGTTCGACGAACTGTTCGTCGAACAAAAATTTCATTTGCCCACCAACGAGTGCGAACATGCTCGCGAACATCATTTGTAAACAATTTTCATCGAGTAAACATGTCATCAGAGATCGACCGCGACACAGTCATTGCCTTGATGGCAATACATGTTTGTTTGGAGGAAAAAAAAAAATAAGGAGGAAGTTAAAAAAAGAAAACACAGCATATGGATGAAACAATGGTATGCAAAGCGCCAAAAGTTCACACATACAAAACTCTTAAAGGAACTGAAAGAAAGTTCTCGGTTGGATTTAAAGAATTTTCTTAGAATGGACGCTGAAACATATGCAGCTCTATTAAATTTGGTAGCTCCAGAAATTCATCGGCAGGATACTACAATGAGAGAAGCAATAAGTGCAAATGAAAGGCTTTCAGCGACTTTGCGCTTTTTGGCAAGTGGCCAAAGCTACGAAGATTTAAAATTTTTAACTGGAATTTCTCCCCAGAGTCTTGGACGCATAGTTTTCGAAACATGTGGCGTAATAATTAAAATACTTAAGCCGTATATAAAAGTAAGAATAAAAATGTTTTATTTAAATATTAATTTCATTTAAGTCTAATATTAATAATCCTTATACATATTCATCGCTGTTGAATAAATCATTATACGAAGATGCTGCCACGTTGTTATTTTGTGTGATCAATACTGGGCGTGTTGAATTATCATCTACAGAGTAGTGCGACATAAAGGAAGATGTACTGGTGGAGTCACTTGTTAGGGGAGTGCTGACTCGAATAATTTGTCGGGGATAAACCGGCACTGGCGCATGACAATTAATATTATTCTGGAAGTTTTCAATGCTTGACACAGATGAATATGTTAGCATATTCATACTGCCTTGCATTAGGAGCTCATCAATTCCTTTTTTTGCAAAAAGCTGTTGCTCTTTTGTCAGCTGCCTGAACATCGCAGCCCATCCTTCAGCGAAAATGTCAGCGTTGTCTTTTGTTTTTATATTCTTTACATTGTCCAAGTGCTCTACTGCTTTTTGCAGAAACTGAGCTCCTTCGTCACGTTTGCGTTTAGTGGTCTTTGGCTACAAAATATTAAAAGAAAAAGAAAATATAATAATGTAATAATGTATTTATTATTTTATTTTTTTAGATGCCTACTAATGAGGATGAATGGAAAGATATTGCGAATGAATTTGAAAATCAATGGAATTTTATTAACTGCATAGGGGCCATTGATGGAAAGCATGTGCACATCAAAAAGCCAAAAACGTCAGGCTCGTATTATTTTAATTACAAGAAAACGTTCAGCATTGTACTGTTGGCTGTAGTTAACGCAAATTACGAATTTATTTGTGTGGAAGTCGGAGCAAATGGAAGAGCATCAGATGCTGGAGTATTTGCCCAATCGGAGTACAAAAGGCGCTACGATGAGCAATCCCTACGTATACCCAAACCGCGGCAAATTAAAAATGCGTCATATGAACTACCATATGTGTTAGTAGGGGACGACGCCTTTCCCCTCTCATCGAATTTAATGAAGCCCTACAGCCGCCAAAAGCTGGAAAAAGAGCATCTCATTTTTAACTACCGCCTTTCAAGAGCTAGGCGTATAGTAGAAAACGCTTTTGGAATTATAAGCAGCAGATTTAGGATCCTTCTAAATACTATATCCTTGCAGCCAGAAAAGGCTTCTGTAATTGTTTTATGTTGCTGCTATTTACACAATTATTTGTCCAAGGAGAATGCCCGAGTTTATTTGCGTGGAGCAGCAGATCCCGACAAAATGTCTGACCAGCAAATGGACGATTTGAAGCCGTTGAAAGGCAGTAATTATACTGATGATGCCAAAGAAATTCGCGAACATTTTCGCGAATACTTCAACACAATTGGAGCAGTACCTTGGCAAAATGACCGCATTTAATATTTTATATTTTTCTATATGTATACTTCAAACTTTGCTAATAAATATATGTTTATAAACAATTGTTTTTATTCTAAATATACTTACTATTTCAATTTCAAAGCTGTCGTCAAATGTGTTTATTCCGTCAACTGAAGTCTCCTGATCTTGAAGAAAATTCAGCTGATCGAAATACCATATGCTGGGTTTGTATACGTCGTCTGTTCCAGCTCCAGACTTTTCGCTCCTTTTAATTTTGTGCAGTTCCCGTCTATATGATGCGCGCAACGAATTCACTTTTTTCTTCACAGTTTCAATGGATGCATGTTCATCCACATTTTTATATTTATTTAATAAAACTTCCCACGATTTGTTTCTGGCATTTTTATTTTTATATATGTCGCTTTTTGTTTGCCACAATGCTGGTTCATTTTCCAGGCAATTAATAAATTCCAATAAAAATTGTTGTGACATTTTAAGCACGTCTTCACTCTAAAAAAATATTTTTCAACTGATGTTCGTCGAACACTGCCATCCACTGTGTCAAATGTTCGTGCGAACACAAAAAAGATTGAAACGTTTTAATTTTTGGCGAACAAAACGTCGAACACAAAATTCACTAACACCAACAAAAAATTCACTAACACCAACGATGTAAACAACACATGTTCGTCGAACAAATTCGTCTGTGGATGGGCTGCTTAAGGCTGACCACCACGAATACATAATCCCAAATCAACCATTCTGCCATCAATTAATTCCCTTTGGAAGGATAAAAACTTACCGTCTTTGCCTGTCGCGGACTTCTTTCTTTGTTGTTAATAAGCATCTAAAACTTCTTACCCATGATGCACCAACGAACACTACATCTACCTAATGTAGGGATAATTGATCGTTTCCCAATTGTTATTAATACTTGCTCAACAATGTATTAGGTTTGTTGAAGCCATTCAGCAACTTTACTAAGTCGGACCACCACATACTTGCTCCACAAACAATGTATCAGCTTTGTTCGGGACCTTTCCCCAACTTTACTAAGGCTGAACACCAAGGATGCACAATTCCTGGTCCATCAATTAATTCCCTTTGGAAGAATTAAAATTTACCATCTTTGGCTGTCGCAGACTTCTTTCTCTGTTCTTAATAAGGAGCTCAGACTTCTTACCCGTGATGCGCCAACGAACACTACATTTCTCTAACGTAGGGATAATTAATCATATCCCAATTTTTATAAATACTTGCTCCACAAAAAATGTATTAGCTTTGATGGGTCCATTCCCCAACTTTACTCAGTCGGATCACCACGGATGCACAATCCCAGGTCCATCAAGTAATTCCCTTTTGAAAGAGCTAAAATTTGCCGTCTTTGGCTGTCGCAGACTTCTTTCTCTGTTGTTAATAAGCAACTAAAACTTCTTACCCGTGATGCGCCAACGAACACTGCATTCTTCTAATGTAGGGAAAATTGATCACTTCCCAATTGTTATTAATACTTGCTCCACAAATAATGTTTTAGCTTTGTTGGGGGCCTTTCTCCAACTTTACTAAGGCTGAACACCAAGGATGCACAATCCCTAATCAACCCTTCTGCTATAAAATAATTCCCTTTGGAAGAATTGAAATTTGACATCTTTGGTTGTCGCAGACTTCTTTCTTTGTTGTTGATAAGCTACTAAAAATTCTTACCCGTGATGCGCCAACGAACACTGCCTTTCTCTAATGTAGGAATAATTCATCGTTTCTCAATTGTTATTAATACTTGCTCCACAAACAATATTCCCCAAAATATATAAATGACACTGCTATCCATCAAATGTTAACAGCCATGATCCACGGGCAGTGTTTTACAACAACTACATATATTGGCTCCATTTAAAAATTGAATATCCTCCACGAGCAATAATCCAACAATCAGCAATATTATTCCTCGAGTAATATTAGTTTTGTACTTATCCTCCACTTGCCCATATATGTTTTTCAAAATTAAAGATCAATTTAAATTTATTGATTCAATAACTTCCTGATTGGTATTCCAAAGAACTTCTCCTTTTGAATGCAATAATAGAATGACAAATTTGCAATCAAGTTCTTCTAAGCAAACACTACCTTTTTTCTTGCACTGATGCTTCTTCTTATTACAATACTGGTTTTCACTCTCAATTTATTTTTCTTTTAAAGTTCCCATCTCTCTTTCTCTCTCCGTTGTGTGATTGTTGCTATTTTTGCTATATTCATTTTTGTGCTAGTGACAAGGGTATTGCTTTATTTAAAATTAACAAGAGAAAGAGAGAGCAACAAAAAGTGCAAAATAACAGAGAACAGTCTATCTGTGGGGTATGTTCAGTCAAAACTTCAGTGATACTGCTGTAGTCAATATTTTGTTACACACTTCTTTCATTATAAACACCATGCTGGTCCAACAATCCCATCCTTATTTTCCTATCCCAAATCCAAATTTCATTACCCATTACCACGTTCCAATCTGCACAGCTATATCATATTGTTCTTTTTTTATATCTAATCTCTTATCTCCCATATCTTTGTTAATTTAGTTTCAACTTATTATATAAACTTAACAGAAAAAGTATTTAGACGAAGAACAACAAAACATAAAGAAAATAAATCAAAAATACATAAAATGTTACAAATCTGTGTTTTATTTTTTTATTTCGTGATGGAATACATATAGAGTAAGGCAGAATGAACGCGTGGATTTTTGCGATGACAGAATTGTTATCGATAAAACAAGAATTATGGGAGCGTTCAGTATCGACAAAACTGTTCCCTTAGAGTTGTTTATAACCTCGGCCATATGGCAAGAGAGGGCATATACAGGATGAGATGAAAAAACTGCAACCGAATTCAGACTGCTGTCATTTGTAAGCCACTTGTCCGACAGCTGTTAAAATTATTCCAGTGACAGCTCATTATATTGTTTACAAGCGTACAAAAGCATTTTGGTGAGAATTTTCCAGAAAAAAAATTATTTGTGATGGATGTGATTGTGACGTGATAGTATGAATTCTTCAAAATTGACTGGAAAACCACACGTGGCTCCAGCATTTAAATGGGAATAAATCTTTTGTGTCTCGTACCATCGCTCGTTACCGTGATACTAGTAGCGTAGCCCGACGTCAAGGAAGTGGACGGAAAGAAAAGAAGCGACTTGATCGAAACCCGCGCCACAGTGGCCGAAAAATGGCTCGTGAGAATAACATATCGCAATATTCCATTCGGCAAATATTGAAAAATGAGCTCAGGGTAAAGGCATTGAAATTCCAAAAAGTGAAAGAACTTACATCGCAGCAGATAGAAAATATACTCAAAAGGGCTAAAGAGTTGATTGGCTTGGCCGAATTTGGTTTTCTCCGATGAGAAAACATTCCGTATCCAGTAGATTTTAAACAAACAAAATGATCGTGTTTACTTGCCAAAGAGGTCAACTAAAAATGAGCACCTTTGGTTGACCACCAGAACTCAAGCGCCGGCCATGGTGACGGTGTGGGCCGCCTTAACAGCCGCTCATATTATCGAGCGTGGCATCAGAATAAATGCCGAATATTATCGCGAAAATATTCTGCAGGGTTATTAAAGCCTTGGGCACGCAAACATTTGACCGCAGACCGTGAACATTTCAACAGGACTCAGCACCATCGCACTCAGCACGCGCCACCCAAGAATGGTTACAAAATGCGGTTCCTCGCTTCATTTCCAGCGCACAATGGCCACCAAAATCTCCGGATACCAATCCGTTGGACTATTGTATCTGGAGTATTTTGGAAAGCAAGGTTGGAACTAAAAAATACCAAAGTGTCGATCACCTCAAGCAAGCGCTTCGCCGGGAATGGACCAAAATACCGCAGAGCAACATTCGGACATCGTGTGACGGTTTCATTGGCCGTTTGAAGGCCATCATTCGTGCCAAAGGTAACCAATTCGAACAAATCTAAACATAATCTAAAATTTGATGCTATTTCCAACATTTTTTGCTTCCATTCAATAAAATTAAAAAAAATGTAAAAATTATGGCGTGTAACTTTGATGCAGATTTTTTTTAACTCACAGTGTACCTTGCCCCCAAAGGTTCAACATTTTGAATAATTATCTCTCTTATAAGATGTGATATAAATTTCCGATTGTCTTCAAATTATACACATCACAATACTTATATTAATCCAAGGTCTGGTGTGAAGATCGAGTACATCGGTCCACTCCTTCTGGTCCTTCCTCACAAAGTGTCAAAATGTTAAATAACCAGACCGATCATAAAATCCGAAATAAGCATCCGGTTCCCTTAATATTTCACACGTCCCATTATTTCTACTAACATAAGATCTGCTGTGAAGATGGGATATATCGGCCCATTACCTTTGGTATCTCCCCCACAAAGGGTCAACATTTTGGATATCCATAAATCACGAAATTAACATCCAATTCTAATTAGACTTTGTACGTCTCAATATTTCCATCTATACGAGATCTGTTATTAAGGTGGTAGATATCGGACAATTTCTTCTTTCTACCTCACCCACAATAGGTTCAAGATTTTGAAAAAAATTCGCTCAAAGAAAGCGAAATAAGCATCCAACTTTCTTTATATTTCACACACAGAAACATTTTTCCTAACACAAGATCTGTTGTAAAGGTGATATATATCTGCGGACCCTTTCTTGTACCTCACCCACAAATATTCTCACAATTTTTTTTTAGATCGATATTTTGCATACAAGCCGCAGTTGAAGGTCATAATCACAGTTTACAACTGAATGGACTAGAATCCTCTTTTGTACAGGCTTTGACAAATGACTCAAGTTGTCACATTGTGGAGGGCAAAAAGCCGAGTTTACTTCGGATTGAAAATGACATCTCAGCTATGCTCTTTTACTTATTTATTGTCATTTCATACTTATAAACTAAACATTTGTTCTTCTCTCCCTCTCCCTCTCTCTCTCTCTCTCTTAACTATAAAAATGGATTGCTCTGTTTGCGATTAATTTCCTTGGGAACGACATATTTTCGAATGGGATCATTGTATATTGGACTTTCCATGAAGTAGCCTCTTGCCTGATCGGCCTCAAAACGGGCATATTCACGGGCATCCTTGGCTCGGATGCAGCCCCATATAATGCAGATGATGATGAGTCCTAAAATAAATGTTGCCAACATTACGAAACCAATTACGCTCGCATAATTAATCGGTTCGCATTTGTTGATCTGTATCAGTAGATAATTTTCCAGATGATTAATCATTTTGTAGGTGAAATAGTGGTCACACTCAATGCCGAATTCATTTTCTACTCGGGCCAGGCAGCGATTCTCAATATCTACAAAAAAAAAAAACAAAAGAGTAGATAAAAATTCCACAAAATTAGATTTTGTTTTGAAAACCTACCCAATTCCTCAGTGACATAGACCGCGGTAAAACGTTCATGTTTCTCCGCCTTGCCACATATATCCGTAACATTCGGACACTTGCCCGACGCCGTCTTCTCCTCGATCATACAACTGACACACGGCTCAAAGAATGTGCAAAACTTATTGTCCGTCTCTGAGCCGATTTCACAATACCTGCCCACATACGGTTCGTCACAAACACATTCACCACACTCACAATAACCGCGATCGGAACACACCTCACCCATGGGACCAATACAGCCATCGGTGCTCTCTTTACAATTACAACGATTGCCGGACCAGCCATATTTACAAACGCACTGGCCGCACACGCAGTCCGCACGTTCAGGATCACAGTCAGCGTTACATTCAGGGCATTCACAGAATTTACCCTCATATCCGGGGAAGCAGAAACAGGTGCCGCAGTCACATTCGCCACGATTCGAACAAACGGGACCAAGATCATCGGGTTGTTTTATATCATAGGGTTTGCGACAAAGTCGCTCAATGGCTTCGAGGGTCGTGGCATTAGTGGCGTCTGTGGGGCAGGTACAAAATGGACCAGTCCTGAAAATAAAAAAATAACAGCAATAATTTAGTTTAGTCGATCGGCTGGAAAAGGGCAAATATTTAGCACAATTTGGACAGTCAGTTAGTCAAACCAACAATTGAACCGTAAGGTTATGTTTCCTTCCTCACATTTGTACATTTAGTCATTCGAAGCGGATAAAGAATCGGACCATATGTTAATGTTTTCTTTTTCGCCTTACTACATTTGGTGCAATCGAGGCGGATAGAAATGCGAATCAACAATCGAGTCGTAAGACTGTGTTTCCTTCCGAGCTGGGTATAGAATCGAATCAATAACCGAATCGTAAGGTTGTCTTTCTTTATCTTTCTTACTCGCCTTTGTACATTTGGTCCTTCGAGTCGGATAGAGATTGGAATCAACAATCGAAACATAGTTGTGTTCCTTTCTCGCCTTTGTACATTTGGTTCTTCGAGTCGGATAGAGAATCGAATCAACAACCGAACCGTAAGGTTGTCTTTCCTTTCTGGCTTTTGTACATTTGGTCCTTCGAGCCGGATAGAGAATTGAATCAACAATCGAAACGTTAGGCAATGTTTCCTTTCTTGCCTTTGTACATTTGGTCCTTCGAGCCGGATAGAGAATCGAACTGTAAGGTTATGTTTTCTTTCTCGCCTTTGTACATTTGATCCTTCGAGCCGTACAGAGAATTGAATCAGCAATCGAAACATAAGGTTGTGTGCTATTCTCGCCTTTGTACAAACTTATAACCAATAAATGGACTTCTACCCTCAGAAGCCTTATTGAATGTTATCTACCCGAGCACACCCATGAATTACGTATAGAAGATGTTCTATTTATAAAGAACCTGGAGACGATGAAAGACCTGTGGAGTGTCCTTTATTTTTATAGGGCCTGCATAAAGTCTTCTAGCGCTGAAAAATTTGCTGAAGGTTAGAAGTCCTGAGGAAGTTCTTCTAGCCAAAATAGGGCGTAGAACTCATTTTGGCTGAAATAGAGATTTGTTGAAGCTCTTTTAACCACAGACGACCTCTTCCTTTCTCTCCTTTGTTCAGTAGGCCTTCCGGCAAATGTATGACCGATAAATGGTATTCTAGCCTCAGAAGACTTATAAAAGGTAATCTACCCGAACACACCCATGAAATACGTATAGAAGGTCTTCTATCTATAAAGAACCTGGAGACGATTTCTAAACATGGAATACCTGTGGAGTGCCTTTTATTTTTCGAGGGCCTGCAGAAAGTCTTCTAGCGCTGAAAATTTTGCTGAAGGTTAGAAGTCCTGCAGTAGTTCTTCTAGCCAAAATAGGGCGTAGAAGTCATTTTGAGCTGAAATAGAGATTTGCTGAGGCCCTCTTAACCCTAGACGACCTGTAGAAAGACGTTTGTCCATAGTAAACCTACTGAATATCATCTTATTCCAGAAGAAACATACAGAAGGCCTTCCCAAAGATCTTCATGCCATTGAAGATCTTTAAAAGAACCTCTAAAAAACCCCGAAATCGGTCTTCTTGCCGTGAGAAGACCCATAGAAGGTCTTCTTCTATTTATAAAGAACCTGGACACGATTTCTAACCATGTAAGACCTGCGGTGTGTCTTCTATATTTAGAGAGCCTGCAGAAAGTCTTCTAGCGCTGAAAATTTTGCTGAAGGTTAGAAGTCCTGCAGAAGTTCTTCTAGCCAAAATAGGGCGTAGAAGTCATTTTAGATAAAATAGAGATTTGTTGAGGCCCTTTTAACCCTTGATGACGCGTAGAAAGTCGATTATCCATAGAAAGCCTATTGAATGTATTTTGCCATAGAAGACCTGTCAAGGGTCTTTTATCCATTGATAAGGCCTATATAAAGTCTTTTAACCACAAGGGTCCCGTGGAAGATCTTCCGGCCATTGAATTTCTTTAAAAGAACCTCTGGACTCATAGAAGGTCTTCGAAACATAATAAACCGAAAACGACCTTCTTGCCATGAGAAGGCCCATTGAAGGTCTTCTATTTATAAAGGATGTGGAGATATTTTCTAACCATGTATGACCTGTGAAGTGTACCTTATTCTTAGAAGGCCTGTAAGAAGTCTTCTAGCGCTCAAAAGTTTGCACAAGGTTAAAAATCCTGCAGAAGTTTTTCTAGCCAAAATAAGGCGTAGAAGACATTTTAGCTGAAATAGATTTGTTGAGGGCCTTTTAAGCATAGACGTCGTTTGTTCATAGAGAACCTGCTGAAGATCTTATCTTAACTTTAAGAGACCTATGGAAGATATTCCGGCCATTGAAGATCTTTAGAAGAACCTCTAGTCACAGGTGACTTATAAGACTCACGGAAGATCTTCAGAACATAAGAGACTCGGAAATGGCCTTCTAGCCCCGAGAAGACCTGTATAAGCTCTACAGATAGTCCATAGCTACAGTGGGTATTCTAACCTTAGAAGACTTGTAGAGATCCTTCTATCTATAGAAGTGCTTCTACGAAATGTTCCTTGTTATGAAGGGCCGACCTCTGAAAGGTTCTCGACCAATAAAAGAGCAAAAGTTACCTCAATAATTTTTCACCATAGAGGGCCTGTAGAATGTCGTGGTGCATTGGAAACCTGCTGAAGATCATATTCCAAAAAGACCTACAGAAGTCTCCCATCCCATAGAAGACCTGTCAAGGGTCTTTTATCTATTGAAAGTCTTCTACCCCCAAGGGAACTATGGAAGGTATTTCCTCCATTGAAGATCTTAAAAAGAACCTCTAGCCACAGGTGACTTTTACGATTCACAGAAAATCTTCTAAACATAAAAGACTCGGAAAAGGCCTTTTAGCTCCGAGAAGACCTGTAGAAGTTCAACAGATGGTTTGTAGCTACAGAAGAACTCCAGTGGGTATTCTAACTTTAGAATACCTGTAGAAGTCCTTCTATCCATAGAAGTGCATCTGTGTAATGTTTCTTTCTATAAAGGTCCGATCTCTGGAAGGTTCTCTACCCATAAAATACCAAAAGTTATATCAATAAGGTAGAAAGTCGTGGTACATTGGAAACCTGAGGAAGATCATATTTCAGAAAGACCTACAGAAGTCCCCCATCCCATAAAAGGACCAACCTCTAGGAGGTTCTCTTCCAATAAAAGGTCACCTTATGGGCTTCTGCATTGAAAATCTTGAATAGACTATCTTTATATAATGGGGACCCTTGATATGCGGTCTATGTATATCCATATCTTACCATGCCGGATCACACTGGCACATGCCACACTGCATATAGCCATTGTCATTGCACTGGAAACGTGAGTATTCATCAGTTGGATCAGACTCCTCGGCACAGGGACAGGGCTTTTGTATCTCCACCTCGATTTCCATGAACTCATTTAGGGCTGACTCTTCGATGCGAATTTTATGGGTCTGAAATGTTGCAAAATTCCAAAAAAAAAAAAATACAGAACATAATGGGAAATTGAATTCGACAAACTTACATAGACCCCAGTTTGGGGGAAATCGGTGAGGGTTAAATTTATGTAAAAGTCTACCGTTGTGCCTAGGGCCACATCATTGCAGTAATTGCGTTTCAGCAATGTTGGAAATTGCCCGCCACAATCTGTTTCGTACTCCACTCGGATGAAATCGGGACTGTTGTCCGAAAACTGGGTTCGCTTGATGAAATTTTCGTAGCTGTAAAGAAAAATGGAGATAAAGTGATTTTTGGTTTTGGCAAACCAAACGAGTTCAGATTGCCAGAATCGGAATTATGGATATTATATTAAATTAAGTTTTTCTGGAATTTTCCAAATTTTCAGTTTTAAATTCAGAATTTGTTTTTAAATTTCACTAAAATGAGAGAAGAAGTCGTTGGTCTACTCCGAAGCCCCCTCCTATTTTTTTGTTTTTGGCTTCCCCTTACCTCTTCTGGATCAACTCCAAAATATTCGACGAATCTGCACTCAATATCTCCACATTACTGATTTCCTTCATAAGACTACTGAATTCCCGATATGTGGGCACCACATCCTCCGTCACAGCGAATATCACACTAATCTTCCTTTCCAACAGCTCACGATAGATCTCCTCCAGCGACGGATAATCATAGACCAGGGAACCCAAATACTCTCCCTCACCGCTCAAATGACATCGCTTGTCATTCTTTTTGGTTATGCCAGCCAAAACGCCATCACCGGCAAAGTGCATAAAGCCATCGGTTACCAAAATGACCACCTTACGAGCTTCCTCTTTCCAGCCGATTTCCTTGGGACACACCAACACCTGCATTAGGGCATCTAGACCACCCTCAAGATTATCTAGATTTCCGGTGACTCTACTTGCATTTACCGACTGCACAAATTCCTTTGCATTCTCCGTCAAAGCCAAATGATGACGATACCCGTAGGTGGGTTCACACACCTGCCGCTCCTTGGCACAGGGATTCTCTCGGAGCTGTGGCATTATCATTGGCATTTCGGGTTTATCGGCAAAGCTACCGAAACCCAAACGATAATTTGTTGTAAGGTTTCGTAATGTTGTTGCCAGCTCGAGGCCAAGTTTTATCAATGTCTCACGATCATCACGCATCGTCCAGGTGAGATCCATAAGAATATACAGATCTAGCGGATTGTATCGTGCCGGCCGATACGAGAGCTTGATGCGTTCTGGATGGGCTGAAAAAAAAGAAAGAGAAATTTGATTTTGTTTAGCAATCCTCCTGCAAAGCATGATTTTAGAAGGATGACGTTGAAGGTCAAAATATTGAGAAACGGCTGAAGCTAGAATCTCTTGGGTGAGGGTCACTCTTGGTCCAAAGGTGTCAGAAATTCATACTAGAACGGTACGGAAAGTATTAAAAGGTACTAAATATGATACCCTTTTTAATTTGAAGGAGCAGTAGATTCATAACGATTCATCAACGCTCAGAAGAAACGGTTGAAGCTAGAATCTCTTGGGTGAGGGTCACTCTTGGTCCGAAGGGGTCAGAAATTCGTACTAGAACGGTACGGAAAGTAATAAAAGGTACTAAATATGATACCCTTTTTATTTGAAGGAGCAGTAGATTCATAACGATTCATCAACGCCCCGACGAAACGGCTGAAGCTGGAATCTCTTGGGTGAGGGTCACTCTTGGTCCGAAGGGGTCAGAAATTCATACTAGAACAGTATGGAAAGTATTAAAAGGTACTCAATATGATACCCCTTCTATTTGAGGAAGCAGTAGAGCTAAAACTCTTAAATTTGGAATGAGGGCCACTGATGGAGTACATGATATATGTTCCTGAGGGTTTTTGGAAATTCGCACCATAAGCGTACGAAAAGTACTAAAATGTACTACATTTGATACCATTTCGTATCATGTGAACGGTTATAGCTAAAAACTTAAAATTTGAAATGGGAATCAAATTGAGGTGTAGGGTCGACGTAAGAAGGTAATTTTGGAGGTGTACACTTATGTACATTAAAAGTACTAAACGGCACTAAATTTGGTACAATTCGAATTTGGAGGATTAGTGCTGGAGTTGGAATCCTGGCGGAATATGGAGGTAGTTTTCGAAATTTTTACTTATGTGCACGAAAAGTACTAAATGGTACTAAATTTGGTACAATTTTTATTTAGGTGAGCCAACAGAGCCGAAATTCGGACATTTAAAAATAAGACTAGTATTGTATGTTAGGACTGAGGAATATAGGTAGTTTTGGAAATTCGTACTAATGTGTACTAGATAGTACTAAATTTGGTACAATTTAAGTTTTGGAAGAACCAATGGGGTTGAAATCGTAAAATTTAGAAATAAGATTACAATTGCACTGTTGGACTGAGGAATGTAGGTAGTTTTGAAAATTCGTACTTATGTGTACTAAATGGTAATAAAAATAGTACAATTTGGATTTTGGGGAAACCAATAGATTTGGAATCCTGATATTTGTAAATAAGATTACTATTGCATTGTTGGACTGACTTATGTACTTATGTGTACTAAATTTGTTACAATTTTAATTTTGAAAGAACCAATGGAGTTGAAATCGTGAAATTTAGAAATAAGATAAGATACTATTGCATTGTTGGATTGTGTTATGCAGGTTATTTTAAAAAGTCGTGTTAATGTATACTAAATGGTACTAAATTTGGTACAATTTAAATTTTGAGTGAACCGGTAGAGTTGGAATCTTGAAATTTGAAAATATGATTTATATTGGACCGTATGATGTAGTTAGTTATGAAAATGTGTCCTCAAGTATACTAAATGGTACTAAATTTGGTACAATATGGCTTTAGGTGAACCTATGGAAACGGAATTCTAAAATTTGGAATTGGAATTACTGTGGGAGTGTAGGTTTGGGGTATATAGAAAGCTTTCGAAATTCCTACTTATGTGTACCAAATGGTACTAAATTTGGTACAATTTGGATTTGGGTGAACTAATAGAACTGGTATCCAGAAAATTGGAAAGTGGATTACTGTGGGAGTGTAAGATTGGGGTATGTAGGTAGTTTTGGAAATTTGTACTTATGTGTAATAAACCGTACTAAATTTGGTACAATTTGGATTTCTGATGAACCGATGGAGTTGAATTTCTAAAATTTGAAAATGGGATTACTGTGGGAGTGTAGGATTGGGGTATATGGGAAGCTTTGGAATTTCGTACTTATGTGTACTAAATGATACTAAATTTGGTACAAATTGAAATTTTGATGAACCAATCGAGCTGGAATTCTGAAATTTGGAATGAGAGTTATTGATGGCCTATAAGATAGATGCACCAAAGGGTTATTGGAAATTCGAACTTTAAATTTAGGATATGTTCTGAAATGGACCTATATTTCTAAAATGGGTCCTTTTGATAATTTGTGAACGAAAAGAACTAAAAACTTGAAATTTGGTATAAGAATCAAGGTTGGGCTGCAAGTTTCATATATGAAGGTGGTTTCGGAAATCTATAATAAGTGTGAGAGCTATACTAAATGGTACTATGGCAGCAGTTCGGCTTAGGGTGAACTGATGAAGCTGGAATGTTGAATTTTTGTGTTGAAATCCCTGTTGGTGGTTGGTTTGTGATACAGAGGTGGTTTTGGATGTGTGTAGTACAAGTGTACGAAAAGTACTAAACAGTACTATGTTTGGTACAATTTGATATTGGGTAAACAGATAGTGCTTGAAATCGGAACATTGATATTAGGGTCATGTCTAGCCTGAACATATGAAGATAGTTTTGGAAATGTTTACTATAATTGTACGAAAAGTACTAAATGGTACTAAATTTGGTTTTCGGTGAAGCGATGTGGATAAAAATCTGAAATTTGATAATAAGATTACTGATGGTATCTGTGTTTGGAATTTGGCGGTGGTTTGGAAATGAGTCCTATATTTATACGAAAAGTACTGAATGGTACTGAATTTGGTACAATTGGATAAGGGTAGAAACGTGGACACATGATGTTGGTTTTGAAATGTGTACTACAGTTGTACAAAAAGTACTATGTGGTACTAAATTGGGTATTGGGTAAAGGACTGGAGAAATCTTGAATTTTGATATAGATACCACTGTTGGAGACTGTGGTTAAGATATGGAGGTGGCTCTGAAAATGTGTACTATAATTGTACGGAATGTACTAAATAGTACTAAATCTGGTATTGGGTGGAGGGAAATTTGGAATAAATTTCCCTTTTGGTGGAATTGATTTATGGAGGTGATTTTGGAAATGTGTAGTATGATTGAAGGGATAAATGTGGTATCCCGAAATTTAATACTAAGGTCTCCGTTTGAATCTGGAATTGAGACTTGATGGTGGTTTGGAAATATTTGTACGAAATAGCACTAAATTTGGTATAGAGTGGAGGAACAGAGCTGACATCTTGAAATTTGATATAAATTATACGGTGGTGTCGGTGGTTGGATATGGAGGTGGTTTTAGAAATGTGTCCAATATTTGTACGAAAAGTACTAAAGGGTGCTAAATTTGAAATTGGGTTAGGGGGTAGAGCTGAAATCTCGAAATTTAATATTGATGTCACTGTTGGTGCCTGGTAAAAAATGTGGGAATAAATTGAGTAAAAGGATACAGCCGGAATTCGAACATTTGATATTTAGGTCTCTGAAAATTTAGTACGATGTACGAATTTTTGATTTTGAGTATTATCAAGTTAAAAAGCAATAAGTTTGGCCGGGCCGAACTTTGAATACCTGTCCACCATTTGGAACGAATTTGGAAATTTTCAAAAAATAAAGTCCTTAAAAAATTCTGTTAAAATTTTAAAAATACCGAATATAGCCGTTATATTGGGGTCTATACGCCGTGGACCTACATAGGCATTGTTTGTCATAAGCCATTACCATATTCGAATTCGAAACAATTTTCTGTCACAGGCTATAGCATCCATTACGAACGTCCAATACGACATCTCTAAAAATTTCGGTTGGTATTATACCTACCGATTATAGGGAGGTACTTATATATGGGGCCTATACGAAGACCTGTAGCTGCATAGACAATTTTACGTCACAGACTGTAGTTCGAACAGTACGAACTCTAAATACGTAATTTGAAACAATTCCGTTAAATAATGACGGTAAAATAATCAAAATACCGAATTTTGGGAGATACAGTTATATGGGGGCTATACGAAGACGTGGACCTGCACAGACAATTTTTGTCATAGGCTGTAGTATCCATTACGAATCTCAAATACCAAATTTGAAACAATTCCGGTGAATAATGTCGCTAAAATCATCAAAATACCGAATATCGGGAGGTACCGTTGTATGGGGCCTATACGAAGACGTGGACCTACATGGCCCATTTACGAACTTAACCTGCCTACTGCAAAAATAAACACGTGTACAAAATTTTAGCCTTCTATCTCAATTCGTTCGAAAGATAACGTGATTACAACAGACAGACGGACAGACAGACAGACGGACATGGTTAAATCGACTTAGAATTTTACACTGATCAAGAATATATATACTTTGTTGGGTATGACATGAGTATTTCTAGGAGTTACAAACGGAATGACAAAGTTAATATACTTTGTAAAATGTGGCCTTTTGTCTGTACCAGAATGTGTGAACCAATTCCCCCATCTCCGCATTGGATCCAATTTTGATAAAAATTATTACAACGAACCTTCGAGAGTTCTCGTGCGTACCAACCAGCCTGACAGGCAAACGGACGAACTGCAATAGATCGACCCCAAATTTCCTAAAACGGATTTTGCCCAAAGAGACCTAGGGGCTAAAGACGTTATTTCGATGAGGCACGTTTTGGCCGTATCAAATGATATATACCCTCTGAGGGGAAAATGATTCGTACTTTTAGGTATTTTTAGTACTTTTTATTTCGAAATTATAACAATCACGTTTTATTGAATCTTTTCGCACCAAAAGGGATCCTCATGCGAAATTTTACGATTCTAGCCTCATTGGTCCATCTGGACTTTGAAGAATATGATAATTAGACATAAGCACCACTTTACTTTATTGGGGGAAGGTCTGCAATATTTAGTGTCAATTCTACCTTTTGTTGTACAAAAACACTCTAATCCCAAAAAATATTAGTTTTTAGGCTGGTCCGAATACCCCTTAAATATTTTTTACTACATAAATGAAAAATCCAACTCTTCTCTCACTTTTCTGATAAGATTTCTAATCAGTTTAATAACTTACCAAAATTTCATTCAGCACCTCCTACCCCACCCCCACATGCACACACGCACTTTACACAAACATCAACTGTGTGACACAACAACTAAAATCATAATCAAAACAAAACGTGTCAAAACTCTATCCGACTTAATCACAAATGTCAACAAACAAATGTCAAATTAATAGGTGACATAAATACCGCACAATCTTGCTCTCATCACCTGAAAACAGAAACAACAACGCTGAGAATGACAACAAGAACAACATTGGCAACGGTAGGCATTGTCAACAGCAAAAAAAAAAAAAACAGAAAAACAAAGAAAAAAACTAGTAAAAATAATAACAATAACAAATAAACAAAGAAACTCGATCTAAAACAAACCGCGTAGCTAAACCCCGGAGAGCAAAAAAAGGAAAAGTGGGACATTAGTACCCCCGAAAAAAATCGAAAGAATTCTGATAACAACCTACCGTAAATAAAATCCAAAGTTCTACAAATACAACACAACAAGGTAGCTTCTCCAAAAATATGTGTGTCCGTACATACTCGTATTAGATAACATTCTAAGGTCTCATCTTATCTAGCCGCAGACTGGGTCGATAGAATGGGAGACCCAATTGTTTTGAGAATGAGAGACAGTGTCTCAGCATTTTGCAATTTCGAAATTCTCTTTCCTAACAGAGACACAAACAATGAAATGCATGATAAGAGACAAGCTAATATTTTTTATCAGTTCCACCGGTCTCCGCAATGAACAGTTAGTTATTCATTCATTCACTGAGTCACTTTTGTTGTGGACATTTGATTTTATTGATGACTTATAGCCACCAGGGAAGACAGAGTCGATAATTTTTTATTTTTGTTTTTTTTTTTTTTTTTTTTTTTTTTTTTTTTTAAATCAAAGCTCAAATGTCTTATAAATTCAAGAAGAACATTTCAAACCCTGTCGGTATGGATAATGCTGGAATCTAGAAAATCTGCAACAGGGCCGATGAAAAGAGGTAGTATATTGCTCTGTTCCCGAACAGCAAGAATGTAAAAAATTTTACTACGACGGCCAATTTTTCCATTATTATATCAAAAAAACAATTGCTAGTAGAATCTTGGAGGTTCTGGAACAGAGAGAGAAATGAGTCATTTCGGTCCACGTTTTCATATAGCCTCCATATAACGATACCTCTCAATAGTCGGTATTTTAGCGACATTATGCTCCGAAATTGTTTCAAATTTTGTATTGGTAAAAAATAACATATGCAGGCCCACGTCTTCGTATAGGCCCCTACATATCGGTACCTCCCATGATTCGGTATTTTTATGATTTTAGCGACATTATTCACAGGAATTGTTTGGAATTTCGTATTTGATGCTCGTAATACGTACTACAACCTACGACGCAAAATTACCTATGTAGGTCCACGCATAGTCCCAATATAAAGGTACCTTCCAATATTCTGTATTTTTATGATATTGGAGACATTATATACCGGAATTGTTTCAAATTTCGTATTTAATGTTCGTAATGGGTACTACAGCCTCTAACGAAAAATTTAGCATGCTGGTCTACGTGTTCGTATAGCCACCATTTGAAGATACCTCCCGATATTCGGTATTTTGAAGATTTCAGCCACGTTTTTCACCGGAATTGTTTCACATTTCGTATTTGAATTCCGTTATGGATATTTCAACCTATGCCAGAAAATTGTCTATGCAAGTCCACGTCTTCGTATACTACATGATGGTATTATCGACATCGTTAAATTATTTTTTTTATATTTCGTATTTTAAGATCCTAATGGGTACTACCGCCTATGGCAAAAAATCACTTATGCATCGTCTTTATTTAAACAGTATATTTCGACGAAATTTTGCTAAAGATTTTCCATTTCCTTCCATATGGTAGAGGGTATTGAATGTTCGGCCCGACCGAATTTAGGTGCTTTTTTACTTGCTAGTACTCAAAATGCATAATTAGATAAGTTTGTAATTTTTTTATAAAAATTTCAATTTTTGTATATTTTTCAAGTTTTTCTGTGTTCGGAATGAAAAAAGTAGGAAAATGTTTACCTTTTTACCCCAAAAAAAGTCTTCAAAATATTTAATTTTGAACAATGGACCCACATTTAATTTTCCTGTCCAAAATTATTTCAACGTCCCCCTAGAAACCAACAGTGACCTCCATATCAAATTTTCGAATTTCTGTTCTATACCTTCACCCAATACCAATTTTGAGTGACATTAGCACCCATATCGAAAACTATCTACATCTGATCATCCTAGAAACTCAGAGTATTATTTAGTTCTTTTCGAACAACTATAGTAGGCATTTGAAAAACCACCACTAGATCAACAACACCAGATACCAACAAAGACTTCAATATAAAATTTCGGGATTCCAGCTCTATGCCTTTACCCAGTTCCAAATTTAGTACTTTTCGTACAATTATCGTACACATCTCTTTAACCACCACTGCATCTCAACCTTAGAAACCGACAGTGGCATTTACATTAAATTTCAGGATTTCAGCTTTTACCAAACTTAGTACCATTTAGTACTTTTCGTTCAATTATAGTACACATTTCCAAAAAATACCCTCCATATACCAACAGAAACCTTAATATGAAATTTCAGTATTCCAGCTTTATACATTCACCCAATACCCAATTTAGTACCACTTAGTACTTTTCCAACAATTATAGTACGCATTTCCAAAATCACCTCCATATATCCATTCCAGATACCAACTGAGACTTCAATATCAAATGTTAGGATTCCGACCAAGTCCCCACACCCAATATCAAATTTAGTATTATTTAGTACTTTTGGGTACAATTATAGGATATATTACAAAAATCAACTCCATATCGCAATTCCAAATACCATGAGAGGCCTCAATATCAAATTTAAGGATTCCAGCTCCATCCCTTCCCCCAATGCCTTATTTCGTACAATTATAGTAAACATTTCCAAGATCAACTCCATAGGTTAACCCCAGACACCAAGAGTGTCATTAATAACAAATGTCAGGGTTTCATCTCCGTTCTTTCACTCAATACCATATTTAGTACTTTCCGTGCAATTATAGTATGCAGTTCCAAAACCACGTCCATATATCAATTCCGGATACCAACAGTGACATCCATATCAAATTTAACAATTTCAGAAGTATTCCTTTACTCTAATTCCTTTACTCTACTTTGTACTATTCGCACGAATATAGAACGCATTTCCAAATCTCCAACAAATCTCAAGCACAGATACCAACAGTAACATCCATATCGAATTTCCGAAATTTTAATCTATCCCTTAACCCAATACGAAGTATAGTACCATTCAGTACTTTTCGTACAATTATGGTATACATTTACGAAACAACCTACACATGAACAATGACCCTAGTACCAAATATAGTACTTTACAAAGTGCCAAGTGGTACCATTTTAGTATTTCTTTTCTTTCGTATCATTTTAGAGCTTTTCGTAACCTTAAAGTTCGAATTTCCAAAAAACCCTTTGGTACATCTATCCTGCACGACTTTCATTCTAAATTTTAGAATTGTAGCTCATAGCATTCGACAAACAATCATTCCATTTTTAGTACATTTAAGAACTTTTCGTACACTTTTAGTACGAATTTTTGTACATTTTAGTATTTTTTTCTTTTACGTACGTATTGCCAAAAAACACATACTTATCACACGCCTACGCACCAAGACTAACCCTTGTGCAAATTTTCAAGATTATAGCTTCAGGCGTTTCATCTGGCCGTTGATTCTCAAAAAGCCAGGCATTCAGTCAGTTCCTTCACTACTATTTTATACATGTATGAGCCTCTTAAAATTTATGAACTTTTTTTTTTAAAAAATGTTGGCCAAATGAAAATTTTGAAAATGTTGTGGATAAAAATACCCTAGAAAAAAATATATTTTTATTTACTTACATTTCACCAGCTTAACATAAACGCGCTGCGGCTGTACCTGTGTAGCACGACTACTACTCGCCTCATAATCCTTAAGGGGTGCATCGATGAGGGTATGCAATTCCGGTTCATTTTCGTAAATGTAATCAGGTCGGCAACCATTCTCCAATAGTTGGGTGCGATTAAGGCAGCGATAACGCAGTTCATAAAGCTTCGATTGTTGAAGAAATCATAATTTGGGTGTGTGTGAGATATCAATTGATTATGAAATAATATTAGTATTGTTGGAGATTGGTGGCATGATGAGTCGACGATAAAGAAAGTTCAATGGAAACTAAATTAATAAATTCAAAATGAAGCAACATTAGATACGTGAACTATTTTCCACTACAGATTTTTGTATAAAACGGTATGGTCCATCCATTCATTTTCCAAAAAAAAAAATATTTATGTAAAAATTAACACTCGAGTCTCACTAAGGTGGGAAACAGTCTTCTGGCACTGTTTTTGTTTATAACAATTTTTACTAAACCTACTTTGCCTAATTTTACTACTACCCTATTACAAAAATTAATCATCCTCCTAATATTCAACACTCTGACTAATATTTCTATTCAAAACACACATTGGACGCCTTTTACAATAATATGAAATTTAAAATTGTTGATATTTTATTAATATCCAGAAAAGGATATCCTTTCTCATTCAAGGGTTTAAAATCCTTCTCGAAATATTCAAAGTTCAGTCAATTATTTTTATATTCAATCCGCATGTTGGGCGCCATTTTGGAAATAAAAAAGTTCGACATTTTTAGATTTAATTTTTTCCAATCTTTAAACAAGCTCGCACCTAATTCAGGGTTATTCATATTTAATATTTTTATTCAATCCGTTCAATATTTATATTAAACCCACAAATTAGGCGCCATTTTTGAAAAAAAAAATATTTTGTTTTTAATTTTAAGACAAATTTTTAGCATGGTAAAGGAGTTAATACCTTCTCGAACCTTCAATACTGTCACCAGTTAATATTTATATTCAAATCACACCTAGAGCTCCGCTTAAGAATATTAAAGAAATTTTAAATGCTGAATCTTGAAAATTTTATTAATTGTCAGGTAAACTCCTTCCTAATTCAATTCAATCCTCTGTCTATTATTTATATATTCAATTCACATGTTGGGTGCCATTTTTGAAAAATACACAAATTTAGACTTTTTGAAATTTCATTAGTTTTTAAACATTGGACCCCAATTTTGAACAAAATAACAAAACTACAAATTTTGAGTTTTTAACTTTTTTATCATTTTTAAAATTATTATTTCATATTTATGCCACAAATTGGGCGGCGTTTTTAAAAAATGAAAAGAAACTCCATCCAAATTCAAGAGTACTACTAATTGTTTCTTTAAATATCCGACACTCTGACTAATTAATATTTATTTTCCACCCACATATTGGGCGCGAGATTTGAAAAATAACGAAATGGCATATTTTGAGTTATTGAGATTTAACTACTTTGTAAGTAAACCTTTTGCTGGTTTGAGGATTTTGAATACTTCTCTGATTATTCGACACTCCGACTAATTATTATTTACAGGGTTAGACAAAAAAAATGCAACAAAGTCAAACGCCATAATTATTTTTTTTTTTTTAATTTTATTTAATGGAACCAAAAATTTCGGAAATTGCATCGAATTTTAGAATGAGTTTAGATTTGTTCGAATTGGTCACCTTTGGCAAGAATTATGGCCTTCAAACGACCAACCGTCACACGCCGAACGAATGTTGCTCTGTTTACAAACTGCTGGACAACGAATGTTTTCTCATCGGAGAAAACAAAATTCGGCAGTTCACCACTTTTGGTCAAGCGAAGCAACTCTTTAGCTCTTTTCAGTCTATTTTCTTTCTGTTGCGGTGTAACTTAGTGCACTTTTCGGAATTTCAATGGCTTTACCCCGAGCTCATTTGTCAATATTCGCCGAATAGAGTATTGCGATATGTTCAGCTTGCGAGCCATTTTTCGGCCACTGCGACGCTGGTTTCGATCAAGTCTCTTCTTGGCTTTCCAACCATTTCTGCTGATGTTGCTGTTTTCTTCCGTCCACTTCCTTGACGTCGAGCTACGCTACCAGGATCACGGTAACGAGCGATAAAACGAAACACAAAAGATTTATCCTCAAGCAAGCGCTTCGCCTGGAATGGGCCAAAATACCGCAGAGCAACATTCGGGCAGCTTGTGATGGTTTCATTGGCCGTTTGAAGGCCAAAGGTGATCAATTCGAACAAATCTAAAGTTATGCTATTTCCGACATTTAGTCAATAAAATTGAAAAAAAAATATAAAAATTATGGTGTTTGACTTTATTGCAGTTTTTTTATCTCACCCTGTATAGTCATTGGGCGCCATTTTCACAAAAAAAGAAATTGCTTTTTTTTTTAATTTTTAAATAAACTCCTTGCAAAAGAAAGTGTTTAAAAATTTGATTATTCAACATACACGTTGGGCTCCATTAAAAAAAACAACAGCATTTCAAAGTCGGATTTTTTTTACTAATTTTCTCATGAACTCCTTGCCAATTAATGGGTTTTTAGGCTTCCTCTGAAAATTCAACACTGTCTAATATTTAAATTCAAGTCACACATTGGACCCATTTTCAAAAATGTAACGAAATTGCAAATTTAAAATTTTTTAATTTTTAAAATAACTTCCTGTTTATTCAAAGTTTTTGAATAATTCTCTGATTATTTAAAACTCTGAGTAATTAGTGTTTATATTCAACTCACACGTTGGGCGCCATTTTTGAAAACAACTAAACAAATGGCAAATCTTGAATTTTTGAAAATTTCATTAATTTTTAGACGAGCTTCCTTCTAATTTTGGGGTATTAAAATTGTCTCTGATTACTCGACATTCTGACTAATTCACATTTATGTTCAAACTATACGTTGGGCGCCATTTTTGGAAAAATAACGATAGTGCAAGTTATGCATTGTGAAAATGTTTTAAATTTTCCAGCCAACCCGTTGCTAATTCTAAGGTTTTTAATTTTGTACGCATGGCCTGAATAATCGATAATTACTAACTAAAAATAAACGTCTACTTTGGGTCACTTATCAAAAAATACGCATGTTTTTCCGCAAACGAAATCAATTGTTGATTAGATTTTCATGGATTGCACAGTGGAATGTAGGCATTAAAATTGGATTTTCCATTTTTATTTTCCTTCGACTTATCATACCAATCTTTTTTTATTTTATTTTATTTCATTTAATTTTTTTTTTTTTTTTTTTTTTAAATTTCGATTTTATACCTTATCCGTACACCAGGCACACGACATATCCGCACTCAAACATCGTTCACATGTATCCTCGAAAATGCAGGGATTATCTGGGACATGAATGCAAACAAAAATGAGACAATAAGGAAAAATTATTTAACACAATTTTTTTCTATTAATTTTGCACAATTTGTTTAATTAATTTTCCATTTAACACTTTCTGCATCACACATACACACACCTGCTTTTATGGCAATAAAATTTAAACAAATTACGACAAGAATGAAAATTTTATATAATTCACACATTTTGCCAATATTCGATTCATAGATTGATATTCGTTACTATTATTGCTATTGTTGTTGTAATTCGTAGTATTATTTTATTGTTGTTGTCGTTGCTGTTATTATACTGAAGTGTCGCGGCACGTATTAGCGTCGACTAATTAACACGGCTTGGTGGCACAATAGCCATGCTTACGTTACCATTATTTTAACAATACTGAAAGTAAGAGAGAGAACCACCCAACCGAACCGAACACCGCCACCCATTGAAAATTGTTAATAATATTTTGTTCTTGAGTTTAGTTTTGGCATGAGTGGGTCGTTCTATCGCTAGACTTCGTTTTGTTATTGTTTTCCTGTTGTTGTTGCAGTCGTTTGCTTATCAAAAAAAAAACTTTGATAAACAAACAGAGAAATTTTGTAGGAATTATGTTTTGTGGAGCAGGGTTAAACAAAAAACAATAATGAAAGGAAAAAGTGAAAATGGGGTTGTCGCTGAGAAGGAAGGTGGGGATTAAAAAAGGTATTTGAATGCATTATGTTTTCAATTGATAAAATATTGAATGTAAATTTGGTTAATGATAAATTATAATAGTATTATTTGGCAAAAATAATAATTTCCATAAAATTTTGAAAATTAAGTTTATTATCAACTTAATTTTCAAAATTTTATGGAAGAAGAATATTTTTCTGACTTAAGTCAATGGAGTTTAGGTTAATTTCGGCTTAAAAATTTAACTGGGTCACCATGGATCCCTTTTTCTTGTGTGAAGAATTCAGCCAGTGACTTAAGTCAGAGAGAAGATTTTTGATAGTAAAATGTGATTGGTTAAAAGTTATAGGAAAAATAACAGTAAGGCTACTATGCCTATTTAGTATAACTCCCGTAACAAAAAAATTATATAATGGGAATTTATGTAAAGTAGATCATAAAAACTATGAACCAAATAACATTGCTGTATAAAGCATGACATAAGTTCGATAAGGATTGTATTAGAAAATATTTACTGGAGCAATCAATGTATCGAACTGAGTTTCGCCAAATGGTAAAATTCGCTTGAATATGAAAAAAAATCTATCCAATTTGACCTAATAAAATCGGATTAAGATGCATATCGAAGCTATATAAAAATCCGAACCTATCTCAGTAATGGTATTTTCGAGCAGTATCTGATGCCCGGTATCAAATATCATTATTGTGGAGTGCATATTACGAGTGTGAGGGACTTTAAACCCCAAATCGGATCAAACATGTATATGGGAGCTATAGCTATGTCTAAACCGATTTTCTCCAAATTTGTATTTGCTTCTGAATTCGGTCGGGTGTGCCAAAATTCATGTAATTTGGATTGAAGATATATATGGGAGAAAAATATATATAAGAAAAATTCTTTTCGGGATATTAAACGCTTGTCTATCATGATCATCCAAACCACAGGTTGGGCGCCATTTTTTTTTTTTTTTGGAAAATAGCAAAACTGTCACAAAATCACTAAATCTACATACAAACTTTCTGTTAATTCAATAGTTTTTCATATATGGCTTATTTTGAGAACTTTTGTAAAGAATATTTCTTCCTCTGATACTTTCTATTTAAAATATCGGCTTTTATAACTTTCATATATTAATTCGAAAAAAGGGCAAGGAAATGTTGATCAAAAAAAAAAAAAATTAGGAACATTTTCAACGTTTATTGTGGCAACATTGATGTTAATAATTTTTTTTGTAATGGAAATTGAGATTTATTTTCTTTGGTGAAAAATATTGAAATTCGATGAAGAATATTCGTGCCTTTGACGCCAACTTTCTGAAAAGATGTTTTGTATTATAATTTTGCATAAACCCATATGAAGTTTCACTGGTTTTTATACCGTACACCATATAGTGGTAAGGGTATTATGTCTTTGTGCATTGTATGTAAAATTTTGAGGATCTTCATAAAATCACTTTCAGAGACGATTTATGCATGGCAGTTTTTAAGGACCTCAAGGTTTGTTTTTTTTTTAATATTTTTTCATATGCCTTTATGGTAAGAATTAAAAAAGGGCTAAGTTTTTTTCATAGGACTTTATGGTGAGGATATATTAAAAATATTTTTTTTTTTCAAAGACAGTAGGAGTGATGTTTTAAAAATATTTTTTCAAAAGACTTAACGCTTGATTTTTTCAAGGAATCTTAAGGCATGTTTTTAAGATGCATCTTTTCCAAAGTATCTTAAAGCGTAAGTCTTTTAAAAACATTTTTGTTGAATGACCAAAAGGTGTGAATCCTTAAAAATATTTTTTAGAGATTTCATTTTTTTAGAATATCTTGAAGTCCTTAGTTTTTGGGAATGTATTGTGCCGAAATTTGTAAACTTCAAGGGAGCCACCAAAGCTGTATTCCTGGTCTTTTTCATTATTTGTCATTAAATACTACTCTAGGTTACAGAAAAGTCTAAATCTTAACATAGAGCTCGGAATTAAAAAAACACTTTTTTGTTTAAACTAGTGAAACAAACCATCATTTCTGAAAATGACGTTAAAATCAAAGTCATCAAATTTCACTATCAATCTCCAGGGAAAATAAATCTATATTTCCATTCAGTTTCAAGAAAATGTTTGTTTAAATTTTGAAAAACAAAAAAACAAAAAAAATAAATAAATACCGCAAACATATTTCCTCTATTTTTCATGAATTTTTATTCAGTCCTTTTTTTAGATGATGCGTGAAAGAACAAAAAAATCATTTTAGGCATAAAGTTTCAAAGGTCGAAATATTTTACGCACAATTTCATTAAAAGTCTCAGAATAAGCCCTATGCAAAGGTTTATTAGTTTTGAAGAAAAATACACTCGGATTGAATATATTACCAGTGAAAATTAAGTGTTTACTTTTTAAAGCTTATTTAACATTCTTTCATTTTCAAGTCAAAACCTCCCTTAAATCTTATTTTTTTTTGTTTAAAGAGGCAAAGTAAGAAAGATTCTAGATCAGTGTCTAGTTTCATATGGATTTTATAATATTCGGTTTATAGATCAAAATCCCAAAAGAGTTTTGCAAGAAGCTGTAATCAGCCGAAGATATACATTACAAATACAAAATTTATATATATACATTAAAAATTATACATACGCATAAGCTTAAAGCTTTTATAGAGATGTTTGATCACTTCAAGACACCATTGGTATAAAAATTTGCTCATGTCGAACATAGGAAATATTTCCTCGTTTTTACCAATATTATTAATATATTCTTGATGTATAATAGTAAATGTTGGAACCATTCTCCAACTTTACTAAGGCTTACCACCACGGATGCATAATCCCTGGTCACCCCTTTAGCCATCAATTAATTCCTTTTGGAAAACTAAAACTTCTTACCCTTGATTCACCAACAAACAGGTAATGATCTTTTTTCAATTGTTAGCTATACTTTCTTCACAAACAATGTGCTGAAAAATATAAATGGCACTGCTTTCCATCAATTGTTAACAGCAATGATCCACGGGCAATATTTTACACCAACTACATATATTGGTTCCACTTATAAATCGAATATTCTTCACGAGTAATAATGCAAAAATCTGTTTGTTTCAAATCTGTGTTATTTAATGAGTAACATTAGTTTTGTACTCTTCCTCCACTTGTTCATAATATTCTTCCAAAAAAGATCAATTTATATTTATTGATAAAATAACTTATTTATTGAAGTTCCAATCAACTTCTCCTTTTTATTGCAAAAATGGAATGATAAATTCACAATTAAATTCTTCTTTGCAAACAGTACCTGTTTTTCTTGCATTGTTGCTTCTTTTAATTACAATACTGGTAAGCACTCTCAAATTCTATGCCTTTTAAAATTCACAACTCTCTCTCTCTTTCTATCTGCTGTGCGATTGTTGCTATTCTTGTTCTAATCACATTTATGCTAGTGACAACGGTATTGCTAACCAATATCCCATTATTTACAATATGCATAGCAAGAGAAAGAGAGTGAAATAGGGGAAGAATAACAAGGAACAGTGTTTATGTGGGGTATGTTCAGTAAAAGCTGCTGTAGTGTTTCTCACATAAACAGTAGGTTTAGGTAAGATTTCAAGTAGTCGAATGTCATGACATATAACATTGTGGTTAAAAGGGAATTTTAATAAAAGACTTTAAGGTGTGAATTTTTCAAAATTATTTTTTTAAAGGACAGGAAGGCATGATTTTTTCAAAGGTGATTTTTCCCTAGAACATAAAGGTGTGAATTGTTTAAAAACAATTTATTTTTAAAGACCTCAAGGCCTGGATTTTGTAAAAGTATTTTTTTCATGACAAATAACTTTGTGGTTTAAATGTTGTTTTAACAATTTTTTTTGGAAAAAAAAATATTGTCACGGACACTATGTTCCTAAAAGTCAAGGATTAGAGCAATAATAGTGCGAAAAATTTAAGACATGTGGAAAAGGCGTAAACTTGCCACCTCTATTTAGTTTACATTGCGATAAAAACTTTTAAAACAATTTTTTTAACTTTTTCCCTCCATTTACACAATTTAATGACTTGATAGTATAATTTTGGACATAAAAGCTATAAATATTCGCAGAAATTATTATAAAAAATCAAGGATTTTTGAGCAGGACATTTTAAAAAAAGCTGAAATTTAACGTAATTTTGTAGTGAAATTGCTGCCAATTCGTCACAGCCTTTGCCATAATTTTACTATGCTGTGGATAAGAAAACACCACAGCACACTTGGAAGTCGCATTCGTCAAAAAAAAGAATGAAAACGGTTGATCTGACGTGTTGCTTTAACTGTCTATTCACATATGCTCTGTTCCAGAACCTGCAATTTATTTTCAATATCCTTAAGGGAAAATCGGTTATCGTTGTGAACATTTTTATATTCCTGCAGATCTAGAACAGACCAATAACTACGGTTGTGTCGTTATCACAGTCACGAAAACCACAAAACAATTGCTGCGCTATGCTTCGAGTTTCTGTGATTACCTGGGCAAAGTTTCTGACAATAACCAAAAATACACCTAACGCGAACCAAGTGAACTAATCTAATTAACAATGCTGCTGGTTGCTGTCTATGGTGCCAAAAATTTATTATTTACTCTATACGCCTCAGAGTATACTTTATTTTTATTAAAATATATGGGTGAGCTACTATTATCGATAACAAAAAACTTTATCAGAAGAACACAATTTTAATGTCCAGCTAATACAACAGATGGCACACCTTATTGGTTATTGTGGCTGATACAGATTTTTATATTAGGAGCCTTCGGTTCAAATAAATTAAAAATAAAACAAGCAAAAAAGTAGCTAAGGTCCGGCCAAACTTTTTATTCCCCTCACGATTTGGAAGAAACTTGAAATTTTTCAAAAAAATAAATTCTGTCAAAAAATACCGCTCAAATGAAAACCGTTATATGACGTCTATACGAGGACGTGGTCCTGCATAAGTAATTTGTGTAATAGGCTGTAGTAACAGTTCCGTAATTTACAAACGAAATTTGAAATAATTCCGGTGAATATTGTCGCAAATCATGAAAATACCGAATATTTGGGGGTACCGTTATATGGCCCTTACACTAAAACGTGGACCTATTAAGACAATTTTCATGCCTTGTGTGGATTTTAAGACAATTCCATTGAAAATTTGGGCGAAATCATCAAAATACCAAATATTTGGAGGATAAATTTATATGGGGTCTATACGATATCATGGACTTACAGAGACAATTCTCTTCTAGGGGATAAAATTATCACAAGGAACTTGTGTGAATTTTCAGACAATTCCATTGCAAAATATGACTAAAATCATCAAAATATCGAATATCGTGAGGTACCGCCATCTGGGGGATATACGATATCGTGGACCTATATGGATAATTCTCTTCCAGGGGATAAAGTGCTCACAAGGAACCCCTTGTGTGGATTTTCAGACAATTCCATTGAAAAATGTGGCTAAAATCATATAAAAACCGAATATCGAAAGGTGCCTTTATGTGACAATTCTCTTTCCACAAAGAACTCCTTGTGCAGAATTTTAGACAATATCATTGCAAAATGTGGCTAAAATCATCAAAATACCGAATATCGGAGGGTGCCGTTATATGGGTGCTATACGATATCGTGGACCTATATAGATAACTCTCTTCCAGAGGATAAAGTACTCACAAGGAACTCCTTTTGTGGATTCTAAGCCAATTCCATTGAGAAATGGGGTTAAAATCATCAAAATACCGAATATCGGGTGTATGCGGGATGTACGATATCGTGGACCTATATAGATAATTCTCTTCCAGGGGATAAAGTACTCACAAGGAACTCCTTGTCAGGATTCTCTGACAATTTTATGGAAAAAATGTGGCTAAATTCATCAAAATACCGAATATTGGGGGATATTGTTATATGGGGGCCATACGATACCGTGGACCATCATCGAAATTGACCTGTCTGCAGACAAAACCCTGATCTGTGGAAAATTTTAGCATCCTAACTATATTCGTTTTGTCTCTAGCGTAATTGAAACAGACGGACGGGCGTCATGTCGAAAATTATTATTTCGATGGGTTACAAACGGAATAACGAACACTCCATAATATGTATAAAATTAACATTGATTAACTGAATTTATTTGTGTTACTATACCGGCTTTTAAAAAACTCATTTTTTTATTAAAACCCCAACTTCAATCGATAACAAACACTGACTTCCAACTGGAGTTTGTTATCGTTGCCCTTTGGAGCGAAAAAGACGTTTACCAACACTGAACTGTGACACAGGACGAATAAACAAAACAAAGCAAAATAAAGGAATTTGTCGGCATTTAGTTGAACAAAAATTGTGCGGTAGTGGTAGCGCGTAAAAATCTCGTTGCAATTGTCTATGAAAATCTTCGGTAATTATTCTTAACTTTTATGCAATAAACAATTGATAAAGACTACAGTGTTATAAAATATTGAAAGAAATCAGTGAATGTATTAAGAAAATCTCGAAAAACAAATCAAATTATCAATTGTCTGCCAAACAAGTAAAATTTCCAATCAGACAAAAGAAGTGGGAGAAAAAAATGCGGTAGTCAGTCAGAAAAGTTGTGGTAGTCTCAGTAGATTTGCTGGGAAAAAATACTTGTGAACTATGAAAAATGTTTCGTATTTATAGAAAATCAAAGCAGTCTGTTGAAAAAAAAATTTCTAATAATTAAAAAATTATTTGCCAAAACCATTTCATTTGTTCGTGCCATAATAGAAAAGCCAAAAGGAGTCGCATTTCTTGCATTTAACGTGTGCGTGTTCGTTCGTGTGTGCGTTTTTGTGTTTATCGGTGTTTGTTTTTCCCTATTCGGTTGTCGCATGAACTCTTCGTTGCTGACAGAGACGCCAAATTCCCTCTGTTGTGGCATTGATTTTGTGCAAAAAATAACAACACAAAACAGAGAGCAACTTTACTGCTCCCAAAAACTCTCGGTCGCTCTCCCGGCAAAACAAAACGGAATTTTCTCCAGCCCTTTTGCAAGGGGCCATTGAAAATACCGTGTCTCTTCTTAACATGTGCATTTTTGTCTAACTCTCAGAGAGCTGAGTATTGAAAACAACGTCTCTGCTCTGGCTCTGCTGCAGAGGGTTTGTGAAATAACAACAAACAATGAAGAAATTATTGTGCGCGTAAAGGAGTAATGAAATAAAACAAAATAACAAACAATTTTGTGCATGGATTTTAAACATTTTATAACAATTAATAGATTTATTAAATATTTTATTATGGATTAAACATATTTGCATGGATATTTAGTGAAAAATTCAAAAGCGGCGCCTAATTCAGTTACAGTTACCGGCATTATCAAGGTTAGTAAAACAAGCTACTTAAACAAATATTAATCCAATTGGAATTCTCGCCAAGTTATGAATTTGTACGTGGTTGTCCAATATTCCTCCAATAATTGCATTGCCCTCAGATAATGCAGCAACTACCTAAATAGGTCTAGCAGGTCTACACATTTCTGCTCCTACAATGATATTACTGGTATTATTTCCATTGCTAATTGATCCTTTTGACAAATGTCCTATGAAAGCGGGTTTGATTAAATTGGAAGAAGACTCCAAGCTATCGAAAATCGGAAGGTACTGAGATATGGACCCTTAATCTGAACGTAGACCGATACGTATGGCATATTCTATATTTTCTACATATATAGTGGACTGTACAAAACTGTATTTTTTTTATCACAGTTTTAAATTTTGGTAGATGATTGGAATTTCACCGTTAGACCAAGTTCACATCAGTCTCAAAGTTGATACAAATATTGCAATATGCAACGATTGATCTTAGGCACAGACTTCGTCCACCTAATATGGAATTCAAAATTTTTATCTATGTTTTTTGAGAAATTGGAATCTTGTTGGTCAGGTAACAGACAGAGTGAACATGTATCTCGTAAATTAAGGGGTACTTAGTAATGCGACTTTTAGTGTTAATATTTATGTATATTGAAAGAAAAAGAATGCGAATAAACACCGATTCAAGGTTGAAGTTTCAATTCATATTTTAATTCAGGAAAAAAAAACTCATTGGCTTTCTAGCTACAGAGCTCTATCGAAATAATGGGATTACGCTTCGACCTATAGACCTATTTCATCTGTCCATCTAGCGGTGTCTGTTCCTTTGGCTGTGTTGATCCGATTTGGTCAAAACTTAGTACATCGTGATATTATTAACAAACTTAGATCAAGTTCGGAGATGGGCAATATCGGTTCACTCCTTCTCATAGCTCCCCCAAAACGGGTCAACGAAATAAACATCCGATTATTTTCAAACTTGGCACATTTCAATATGTCTACCAACATCCGTTATGGTGTGAATATGGAATACAGCGGAACACCCAACAAGCTATAGTCGATTTATCGGTATCTGTCTGCGAGATAGAAGGTCAAACATCCGGCCACGTTTTCGTATAGCCCCCATACGACGGTACCTTCCAATATTCGGTATTTTGATGATTTTACAGACATTTATTATCGGAATTGTTTCAAATTTCATATTTGAAGTTCTTAACTACAACCTATGACAAAAAAAAAACAACTTTTGCAGGTCCACGTTTCCGTATAGCCTCTATATTACGGTACCTCCCAATATTCAGTATTTTTATGATTTTAGAGACGTTATAGACCGGAATAGTTTCAAATTTGGTATTTAAAGTTCTTAATGGGTACTACATCCTATTAATACAGCCCCCATACAACGATACCTTCGGATATTCGTTATTTTGATGATGTAAGTGACATTATCGAACGGAATTGTTCAAAATTTCGTATTTGAAGTTCGTAATAATTACTACAACCTAAGACAGAAAATTGTCTATGCAGTTCCCCGATCGTATAGCCCACATATAACGGCACCTCAATGACGTACAGGGTGAGATAAAAACTGCAACAAATTCCATAATTTTTACATTTTGTTTTTAATTTTATTGAATGAAAGTAAAAAATGTCGGAAATAACATCAAATTTTAGAATAAGTTTAGATTTGTTCGAATTGGTCAGCTTTCGCCTTCAAACGGCCAATGAAACCATCAATTCGCTTCTTTACTTTTCTAACCATTTCTGCTGATGTTGCTGTTTTCTTCCGTCCACTTCCTTGACGTCGGGTACGAGACACAAAAGATTTATTCACATTTAAATGCTGCAGTGCTCTAACGATAGCCACTTGTGATTTTCCCGCCAAATGTAAAGAAATCACACTATCACCCTTGATTTCCATCACGAATAATTGTTTTTCTGGAAAATTCTCTATGCTTTTGTACGCTTAAAAACAATATAATGAGCTGTCACTGGAATAATTTTAATAGCTGTCGGACGAGTGGCTTTGAAATGGCAGCAGTTTGAAATTGGTTGTAGTTTTTTTCAAGTCTCCTTGTATATCTTCAACCGATTTGAGGGTTATTGTGCAGCAAATGGGTTATATCAACCCACCGGGACTAGATTTTTGCACATCTCACCGAATTCAGCTTGGAAGCCAATACTTCAAATTTGATGAAAATCGGCTCGGATATAGCTATGCCTCCCACATATATGTTTCATTCGATTTGGAATTTTAGTCCTTCACATTCGTAATATGCACTCCACAACAATGATATATGTTTCCAGATATCAGATACAGCTCAGAAATACCTCTGCCCAATCAAATTTGGATATAGCTCCCATATATATCTTCAAGCTATTTGTGGGTTGTTGTGCACCGAATTTGTAATATGAACCCAAATTGGATTGATCGGTTTCCATATATCTCTTGCCCCGACATATATAATCCTTCTCGAAGTCATACTATGAACTCTTGCAATATTATTTGGTACGAGCGGTACAGATGCCTCCGTCAAATTTGGGAATCGATTTAGAGTTGAATATACCACCCAAATCTCTCTGATTCCAAATTAAAAAAAAAAAACAAGTAAAAAAACACTAAGTTCGGTTCATTCGGTTCGTTTGAACTTTGAATACCGTCCACCATTTAGAACGAATTTGAAAATTTTCGAAAAAGATAACATTCGCCAAAAATTCTGTTAACATTTTAAAAATACCGAACATAGCCGTTATATTTGGGCCTGTACGCCTGCCATTACCATATTCAAATTCAAAACTTGAAATAAACGGTGAATAATGTATCCAAAAATCATCAAAATAACGTACATAGGGAGGTACCGAAGACCTGGATCTGCATAGACAATTTTCTGTCACAGGCTGTAGCTTCCATTACGAACTTCAAGTATGACATCTCAAACAATTTCGTTGAGTATTGTTCCTAAAATCGTCAAAATACCGAATATAAGGAGGTACTGATATATGTGGCCTATACGAAGACCTGCACCTGCATAGGCAATTTTCTGTCACAGACTGTAGTTCCCATTCCGAACTCTAAATACGTAATTTGAAACTACTACGGTGAATAATGACGCTAAAATCATTAAAATACCGCATATTGGGAGGTACCGTTATATGGGGGCTATACGTGGAGGGTATAAAAAATGGTTCACATCAATTTCCAATATAATCGTTTATTTAACTCCACCAAATATGCGTAGTAGTGCAGTCGCCCGACTTTTGACCTTTCTACTGCTTATAATTCATTAAATTTCACATAAGCATCGTTTTTAAAAGAAATAATCAGTTACTTATTTTCCTTGATCAGAAATACAAAATAAAACCATAATAAAGGAAAATCGGGTTATAATCTATTGCAAAATATTATAAAACTACGATAAAAGTTTCCATAGTACTTCCAAACAAGACAAAGAAATATTCTTCACACCATTGTTTTTTCTTTTCTTTCTGCATTGCCTTAAGTTTTTGTCCCAGTTTTTGGATTTTATTTGGCTCTAAGTGTTGGGCATTTAAGAGAAAGATGGCCATCGGTGCAAGAAACAAACAAACAAACAAATATGCTTTGTTGTGGTGTTGCTTTGAATGGTCCACACAACTGCACACACACACACTCACACTCACACAGCGACAGAAATAATTTTATATTTGCTGCAATTTATATTTTGTTGAGACGATTATTCATAGTTTTATCCCCCATTCACCCTCCCAAACAACTGCTTATTTTCTAAAATAATTCGCTCATAAAATTTGTTTACTCATTTTGTTCTTATTGCAGCAGGAGAGGCAGCTACTGCTTGCTTCCTAGCCTCAATCTACGTCTGTTGCTAGAGGGGGGGCTGCTCTGTCAGTGCAGTCTGTTTGGCCGTTTTTTCTTTGGCTGTTTTTTTGCTATCCAGAAGTTATTACAGCTCGTTTTGCTTTTCACTTTTTCTTTTGCCACCATCATCGCCAAACACCAGAAGGACGGCGACAACAACGGCAATGGCGACCACCAGCTTTTGTTGTTCTGATAATGATGAACATTTTGTGGTGCTGATGGCATTTTTCGTTCGTTTTCACTCCAACTTTTGTTCCAAATTTCCTTAATAGTTGTGTTCTTCGTTTTGTTGTTGTTGTTGTTGCTGCGTAACAAATATTTCATTCCTTGTTCTTTTGTGTCACAAACATTCACTGCAAGCGAACAACAAAGCAAGATGAATCGTTTAAATTTTGAATTATTATTAAAAAATGTCTGGCAATGAAGGAAAGTAATATGGACATGGAGTGGAGATCATTGGACCCTTCATCTATGGAAGATTTTCAGCTGTCTCCTATAAAGAAAAGTCCTTTGAGGTCTTCTTAGATACCTACTATGGTCTTGGATGTCTTCAGTGGTCCTCTATCCCTAAAAGACCGCATTGGCCTTCTAGCCATAAAAGACCTCAAAGGTTTTCTAGCCATAGAAACCTCATTGGTCTTCTAGCCATAGAAGATCTCATTGGTCTTCTAGCCATAGGAAATCCCAAAGGTTTGCTATCTTCAGAAGACCTCATCGCTCTTCTAGCCATGGAAGACCTCAAAGGTTTTCTATCTTTAGAAGACCTCATAGGTCTTCTAGCAATAGAAGTCCTTAGTGGTCTTCTATCCCAAGAAGACCCTATTGGTCTTCTAGCCATAGAAGACCTCATTGGTCTTCTAGTCATAGAAGACCTCACTGATCTTCTATCTTTAGAAGACCTCATTGGTCTTCTAGCCATAGAAGTCCTTAGTGGTCTTCTATCCCAAGAACTCCACATTGGTCTTCTAGCCATAGAAGACGTCATTGGCCTTCTAGCCATAGAAGTCCTTAGTGGTCTTCTATCCTAAGAAGACCACATTGGTCTTCTAGTCATAGACGACCTCAAAGTTTTGTATCTTTGGTAGACCTCTTTGCTCTCCTTTTCCAAGAAAACCTCACTGATCTTCTAACCATAGATGACCTAATTGGTCTT